GAGTTAGGAAAAGGATTTTTCCCTTGATTCCTTTTTATGAAATACTGCCAGACACCTTAGAAATGGAATCTTCTATACTAGACTCTAAGCCACGTGAGATTGTGGCTGAGTCTGCCCAGGGGCATGAAATTGGAGTAAGGAGACACTAAAAATCACCTCAGTGACAGGAACTGTGACAGGGTCTCATCTGCCATCAGTCAGCTCATCTCTAGTAAACACAGCCCATTCATCTGAGAGAGATGCAGTTCCTCAAAAGATTTTTTTTCCATACAACAAATTATCCTGGACAGATAGCAAGATTTCATTGTTGTTTTTTTGAGGTTTTGTTTTGTTTTGTCTTAATTTAAAAGTCAAGTTGGCCTGCCCTCAGGGGCTCACACCTATAATCCTAGATACTCAAGAGTCTGAGATCTGAGAATCATGGTTTGAAGCCATCCAGGCAGAAAGCCTGTGAAACTCTTATTTCCAATGAACTAACAAAATGCCCGAGGTGGAGATATTATTCAGATGGTAGAATGTCAGCCTTGAGCAAAAAATTAAGATTACAACTGTAATCCTAGCTTCTCAAGAGACTGAGGTCTGAAGATCATGGTTCAAAACAATGGATAGGAAAATCTCTGAGACTCTTATCGCTAATTAAAACCAAAAAGCTGGAAGTGGAGCTATAGCTTGACTGGTTGAATACTAGCATTAAGCAAAAAAAAAAAAAAAAACAAGGATAGCACCCAAGTTCTGAGTTCAAGTCCCAGGGCTGGCACAAAAAAAAAAAAAAAAAGAAGAGGAAAAATAAAAAGCCAATGGGTAGCACCCAGGCCCTAAGCTCAATCCCTAGTGCTGGCACACAAAAAAAGTCATAAATGAAGACCTTGAAGACAGGTAACAGGATGTGAAAATAAATGCCCCCAGTAGTAATTTTTGTGCTATCTTTGCAGAAAGAAAATCACTTTGTTCTCCAGTTTGGACGCAATGAAGGAATCTAGCTATTGTGTAAATTACTTGAAATTCCACAGCGCCTGCACTATTCGAGAGAAAAAAAAAAAAGCGAACCTAGGAATTTGCAGCTGTGGCTCCCAAGGAGGCTTCTAACTCGGGCAGCGTGAGGTTTAGCACACAGCTGTTGCTCATTTGAGCTGAAGATTTTTTAATTGCCTTTGTGTCAAGATTTATTAAATAACATTTGAGAGAAGCAAAAACTATAATAGTCATATTAGTAGGAGGCTGAAGAAAAATATAATAATAGTAATAACGGGAACATAGCATTCTTGCCTTGGAAGCCAAGTCTGAAAATATCTTTTCCACATAACCAGCTACCAGTCATCCTGGAAAGAGTTTCCAGGAAAATCCAAGCCATGGAAGCCCTGTGGCCTCTGCCAGAGCTCAGATGCTAGCTGCTCTTAGTCATTTATCTAGAAGTACTTCTTCTGAGCGGCCTCTTCTGATCCTACCCTCTCCCATCCTATTATATAGAGAGGCAAGAGTCGGGGTGCTTGAAACAAATGCAGCATTAGCCAGCAATGGGTTGCTCGCCTAAGTGGTCTGCGTCATCTTTGCAAACCTCTGTAATTGCTGTTTCCTAGTAGACTGGCTCATCCAAGACAATATGGCATGGGGGTGGGGAGGAGGGATAGGAGCCGGGAAGTTGAACCTTCCCCACTAGGCTTAGAGTAGCTGTCTGCGTGAACAGAAGATAAAACACATGGACCCTCCCAGGTTCTTCTGACAAGGCAAAGTAGGAGGAGGGAGCCTTTCTACTAAAACTAATATTATCTTTTAAGGGAGAAGTCCCAACCACCAAACATAGTCTTCAATAAGAGAGGTAAACCAAGCAAACTGCAGAATAAAGTCGTAAATCTTCACTATCCAACTATAATCTCTATCATGCATTGCCTTTTAACTTGTTTCCATGCAAAATATTTTAAGAGGCTGTCAAATACAGTTATTAGATTATCCAAATATCACTTATAAAGAGGCTAGGAAGGTGGCTCAGTGGTAGAGTGTTTGCCTTGCATGCATGAAGCCCTGGGTTCGATTCCTCAGCACCACATAAACAAAAAAGAAAAAAAAGCAGGAAGTGGCGCTGTGGCTCAAGTGGTAGAGTGCTAGCCTTGAGCTGAAGAGCTGAGGGACAGCGCCCAGGCCCGGAGTTCAGGCCCCACAACCAACAAATAAATAAATAAATATCAGTATATCACATTAGACAATTCTACAAAATAAAAACAAAAATCCCACAGCAATAATAACCCCAGCAGTCCAAGAAAAACCCACATTAATAGTACAAATTATGAATACAGTTTTAAAAAAAGAAAAGAAAATCACATTAGACATTTAAACGGAGGTAACTACATTTATTCAAGAAATTCAGCGCTGCTGCTTAATGCCACTAAGGACACAGTTTTAGGTGTGATTTCACATGCTTTCAAAATGTCAGTACAGTCCCCATAGTAAAGCATCTTTGTGCGTGTCAAGTTTGTTTACTGTCATTACATTATACATCATACTTAAGACCATATCACCTCAAAATTAAACAATTTATCTTGTAAGTGGACACCAGCCAAAATTTAGCCTGAAAGATGAAAAAATTCAAAAACACTTTAATTCTTGAAGACAGATCTCAACATGTTTCAGTGTATGAGTACTATTTGCTTATAGAGACATGAAGTGTCCATTGAAAAGTGGAAATGGAGATTGGGGCCAGTGACTCATGCCTATAATTCTAACTACTGAGGAGGCTGAGAACTGAGGGTTGAAGTTTAAAGTGAGCGAAGGCAGAAAAGTCCATGAGACTCTTTATCTCCAATTAACCAGCAAAAAGCTGGAAGTGGAGGTATGGCTCAAGTGGAGGAGCACTGCTCTTGAGCGAAAAGGCTAAGGGACAGCCCCCAGGCTCTGAGTTCAAGCCTAAGTCCTAGTATCACTACTCCCCCCTCCTCTGAAAAAAAAAGAAAAAACTGGATTGAGACTCTGGAAAGACTAAGGGGCTTTTGTTGTTCATATTGTTAATATTGTTGTTGTTTGTTTTTTTGTGCCAGTCCTGGGGTTTAGGACGTAGGCACTGACTCTGAGTTTGTTGTTCAAGGCTAAGGGCTGTACCCCTTGAGCCACAATTCCACTTCTGGAATTGGTAAATGCTTGGAGACAAGAGTCGGAAGCATATGGTGATGATGGTCTGCTGGCTTAGCATTCCATACTCCAATTTCATATGTAAGTAGGTCGGATCGGGTTAGTCTTCCATAGATACTATGGTCCTGGAAGTGGGAGGAAGAAGTGAGCATTCATTCATTCACACCAGTTATTAGTGTCAGCTTGTCAGTTATGGTTGGGTGGGGCTGTGGATTGGTACAAAGACAACTTGTCTATTCTTTCTTTCTTTCTCTATTTATTTATTGTGCCAATCCTATGGCTTGAACTCAGGGCCTGAACACTGGCCATGAGACTTTTTGCTCATAGCTAACACTCCACCATTTGAGCCACAGCTCCACTCTCAGCTTTTCTGGTAGTTTATTGGAGATAAGAGTCTCATGGGGAAGGGGAAATAAAGGAGGAAGCTACAATGCTTGATAAGAAATGTACTCATTATCTTGCCCATGTAATTGTAACACCTCTGTACAGTATTTTCACAATTAAAAAAAAAGAGTCTCATGGACTTTGCTGCCTGGATTGGCTTTGAATCCTCAGATCTCAGCCTCCTGAGTAGCTACGATTACAGGCATGAGCCACCATCGCCCCACAGGAAGACAGGTTTGTTTTTTTTTAATTTCATAGGCATGTAATGCTTAGGATAGTACCAGTCCAAGTAAGCATTCAGTAAAGATTAGCTATTGATGTTTTTTAATGAAATATATTAGGATTTAGGAATTTGGGGGCAATGGATAGAGTCAATGATGACATGTTCATCAAGGGGATATGATATATATTAAAAATTAATAAAAATGGCTGATATATATTGTGTGTGTGTGTGCATGCGTGTGTGTGTGTGTGTGTGTGTGTGAGAGAGAGAGAGAGAGAGAGAGAGAGGAAGAAAGAATCCTTTGGCAAATAACTACTTGTAATCTTCAAAAATGTCTTCAGAACGTGTTCCACACTGCTAGAGATCAGAAGAGCACTACCACCAAGGGCTAGCTGTGGTTCCCAGCTCAGCTCATCAGCTTCACAGGACATTGTTGAGTCAACTGAGACAAGTGGCAGGAAGTTGAATGGGTCTGGGAACAGTTATGTGTTTGTCCCTTGTGTATAGGAAATGACACAGAAACATTTCTAGAGGAATAGAACAACCAGCCCCATCCACACACTCTCCCATGTTTCAGAGTCTTCTTTGTACTTTATTCACAACTCTACTGCAAGTTTGTGATTGTTTGAAAATAAAAACTTTTCTTTTTCACCAACAGCTAGGATTTATTAAGTTTATTTCACTGAGTATGATGGCTCCTGAGCAGGTTCAATTCCCCCAAGAAACCTCTCTGGTTTGCATGGCTACTGGAGTCATGAGCCTTTCCTCTGTACCCCTTTAATAAGCAGATCCCAACCTAGCAGACCACTTAATTTTGTCGCTAACATCTATGCCCCTCTCCTCCGGGAGATAGCTCTTTCAGCTCAGGACTGTGTCTGCTCTGGATGTGTCCATGGCCCCCTGAGCAGTCCTAACCCTCAATACATGCTTGTGAAGGAAGCATTCACACTTGCTCAGTAAGATGACCACTGGCAAAAAGGAAGCACTAAGTCTGTGTCTCATGCCTGTAACCTTAGCTATTCAAGAGGCTGAGATCTAAGGATCATGGTTCTAAGCCAGCCAGGAGAAGGAAAATCTATGGGCTGTTATCTCCAGTTAACTGCCACAAAGCTGAAAGTAGAACTGTGGCTCAAAAGCCAGCCTTGAGCAGAAAAACCCTAGTTCAAGCCCTAGTACCTACACACACACACACACACACACACACACACACACACACACACACAGGTGACACAGGACGGAATACATGCCTGACATGTCTCGTCTCCCTTTCAAGGTGGCCCTGGCTCTGGCAAAGGCACACAGTGTGAGAAGCTGGTGGAAAAATATGGCTTTACTCATCTCTCCACTGGTGAACTCCTGCGTAAAGAACTAGCCTCCGAATCTGAAAGAAGCAAATTGATCAGAGACATCATGCAGCGTGGAGACCTGGTACCCTCGGTAAGCTACGCCCATCCTTCCCAGGAGACCATGCCCCGCCTCCCCAGGGAACCCCTCCCCCTCCTGCTTGGTAACCCGCAGCTGCCTTACCCTACAGAGGTACCTACCTAGAGGGTTTAGATAGAAGTGGGTTTTATTTCTCTTTTACATGACAATCCAGAAACGAGCAGGTCTGCAGCAGATGTTGCACCCAAGTCCCAAGTTCCTTGGCCAGCTCTTTAAATTTCATCCTCGTCTTCATTTCCCCCAAGTCAGGCCCCCACTTGACTAGTTCAAAAATCTTCAGAACAGAGGTGAGTGATAGGACACAGCCTAGAATTAGAAACCTTCAGGGAACAGAAAATAACCTTTTGATCTAGTTCTGCAGGCAGCCTCAGGGAATGAGAGCATTTGGCATTTTGTTTCTGTCATTTAAGAGTACTCCTTTGCTAATACTTTTTTTTTTTCAAACCTTCATTCGTGTTAGCCATGTGTATCCAAAAATATTCATCTTACCCCAGGCAGGCACTGGTGGCTCATGCCTAGCTACTCTGGAGACTGAGTTCTGAGAATTGTGGTTCAAAGCCAGCCTGATCAAGAAAGTCCAGGAGACTCTAACCTCTGATTGATTAACCACCAGAAAACTGGAAGTGGAGCTGTGGCTCTACTTGAGCAAAAAAGCTCAGAGACAGCCCAGGTAGTTAGGTAGATAGGTAGACAGACAGACAGACAGACAGACAGACAAACAGATAGATAGACAGACAGACAGACAGACAGATAGCATCCTTGACCAACAAGATCCCAAGCCAGGCTCATTAATTAGTTCTTGAACCATACAGTCTCTGCTGGATAAGGATACAGGCTGTGTCACAACTGGAAACATCTTAGTCAAAGGAAAACAGTCATGGCAGTCTTTTTTTCTTTTTTATTTGCCAGTACTGGAGTTTGAACTCAGGCCCTGGAAGGGCACTGTTCTTTAGCTTTCTTGCTGAAGGCTAGCATTCTACTTACTTGAGTGATAGATCCACTTCTGGCTTCTTGGTGGTTAACTGGAAATAAGAGTCTCATGGACTTTCCTACTCTGGCTGACTTACAACAGCAATCCTCAGATCTCAGCCTCCTGAGTAGCTACAATTACAGACATGAGCCACCAGTGCCCAGCTCCCCAGGCTTATTATTGTCACAGCAAGCAAGCCATTGCTTCAAAATATGTTTCTTCTGCAGAAACGTCCAGCAGCTTCCCACGACCCTTAGAATGAAATGCAGAGTCCTGTCCATGGACGTGGCCCCCAGACACCTCTCCAGGATTTTTCCCCTCCACCCTCCCCATGCTGGCTCCCACTCACACACTCCTCATTCCTCTCACCGTCGGCCGTTCCTGCCTCCAAGCCTTTGTACGGGCAATGTCCTCATCCTGAGTGATATTTCTTCATATGGTCACACAGTTTGCTCATGTCTTCATCTAAATCTTTGTGTTGTGTTGTTGTTGTTGTTGTTTTTTAAGTCAGTTGTGGGCCTGGGTGCTGTCCCTGAGGGCTTCAGGTCAAGACTAGCACTCTACCAGTTAAGCCACAGCACCACTTTCAGTTTCTTAGTGGTTAATTGGAGATAAGAGTCTCACAGACTTTCCTGCTTGGGGTGGCTTTGATCTGTGATCCGCAGATCTCAGCCTCCTGAGTAGCTAGGATTACAGGTGAGAGCCCCCAGTGCCCAGCTTAAATCTTTGTTTTAATGTCAAAACTACATTTGGGGGTGGGTTAGGGGGGGAGGGAGGGGTAGTGCCAGCACCAGTGTTCTCCCTTAGCTTTTTCACTCAGAGCTGGCACTCTACCACTTACAAATGTGACAGCTCCTTCAGGAGGCCTTCCCTGACCACCTTATCTAGAATAGCGCCTCCAGCATTTTGTTCTCTCTTTGTCTTGCTTTAATTTTGTGCTTGTCAGTTGTCCCTTGCTAAATATTGTAATTATTTATATTTTGGTTGTCTCTCTCATCAAGCTATGATCTTCCTGAGGAAGATAATTTACAATTATCTAGAGAAAGATTTGGCCACCTGTAATGGCATTATTCCTCAAGCTCCTGCCAAAAGTCAGAGGACAGGGAGCTCCTCCCTTTCCGCAGAACAGTGAGCTCACTGCAGTTTCCCACAGCCATTCCCAAACCTCTACATTCTTTCCTCCTTATTTTCCATAAGCACTTGTTAAAATGAAATAAAATATATTCAGGCAGTAATGGGATTCGAACTCAGGTCCTTATACCTGCTAGGCAGACACTCTACCACTTTAGCCACATCCTCTGGCCCTTAAATCAAGAGCTTTAGTAGAGAAAGCAATGTGGCTAGAAAATACAACTTCATATCTACTTAAAAGTCTCAAATCAGTGAATGTCAAGTTAGATGTTGACTGGAAAAAAAAACTAACAGTAGAATATATTTTATATTTTGTTTAAACTGCCATGGTGCCTAGTTTATGTAGTGTTAGTCTCTGAAACAAGCCTGTTATAGTTCTTATAACCTAACATGAGTCATACAACCCTGCAAAAGCAACTACTGAGGACTAAGAAAACTATGAACAGTTACACTGGAACCCCATTGTGAATGAACCTCCAATTTTGTAGTTGTTCCAGTGCGGTGGGGGAGGGAAGGTGACAGAGAATCAAATATGGAGAGCTGCTGTCTGCTGTCCGTACAACAACTTGTCCTCCCTCGTGGACGGCTTGTGGACTGCCCTGGTGGTTCTGGGTAGTGACCGGCCCTTTAAGGCTCGGGCGCTGACCGCTGTCATCCTTCTGCTGCAGGACATCGTTCTGGAGCTCCTGAAGGAGGCCATGGTGACCAGCCTCAACAACACACAGGGCTTCCTGATTGATGGCTACCCTCGAGAAGTGAAGCAAGGGGAAGAGTTCCACCGCAGGGTGAGCTGCTGTGACCGCAGGGATTGTTCCAGAAGAAAAATAGGGTGCATTATTGTTGTTGGATATAAATTCAAAGCCTAGCCCTTTCCTAGTTACATTAATCAAACCTTTCTATTACACATGGCAGAAATCCAATTCAAACTAACCAGAGAGAGAGAGAGAGAGAGAGAGAGAGAAACAGAAAAGAATATTTAACTGAAATACACAGTTACACAGTAGTAGTTCGGACTTGGTTAGATCTTGGTATTCAAATTTGCTCATCAAAGTTCTTACTGTTCCCGTCTCATCAATTGCTTTTCCTTCTCATTTCCAGCTTCTGCCCTACCAAGATCCACAGAAGCGTTTCATACACTCAGGGCTATGTTTCATTGTCCTGGATTAAGTCTCAGCCATCTCTGAACCTTTCCCTGTGGCCAGGGGGAAAGGGTGGAGGGGGAGAGGGGAGAGGCAGCCTGGAGAAACAGGGATGGGAAGGGTGGCATCCCACCTGAGCCATGCTGACTGATGTGTACAGAGAATTACCCCGGGAGGAATAGGGATACGTGTACGTAAGAAGGGAGCTGGGAATGCTGGGTGAGCAGAACTTCAAATACCACTCAATACCCCAACCTCCCACCCTCTCCAGCCCCATCCTGTCCTGAGAGGAGGTGAGTCAGAGCCATTCACAAGGAGTGGCAGGAAGGGACCCCCACTCCAGCTATAGGCATTGACCTACCAGGAGCAGGTTCTAGGCTTCACTGCATACAACAGACTTCACACGACACATTTTACAAAGGTTGGGACGGTGTTAAGCAATGTCTGACTCGAAAACCCAAAAGAAACTTCTGTTTTTAGAACTGTTGTCTCTCTAAGCCAGTTTTATATTTTCATATGCATCCTTTTCTGGGATGCTTGGTGGCTTTAAGGGTTTTGCTTTTGTTTTGTTTTGTTTTATACTGGCACTGGAGCTTGAACTCGGGGCCTCGTACTCTCAATTGGCTTTCCCACTCAAAGCTGGTGCCCTAACACTTGAGCCACACCTCCACATCCGGCTTTTTGCTGGTTAACTGTAGATAAGAGTCTCATGGACTTTTCTCCCCAGGGTGGCTTCAAGCCTTGATCCTCAGATCTCAGCCTTCTGAGTAGCTAGCATTGCAGGTGTGAGCTATCAGCTCCCTATTCATGAGTTGCTTTTTAAAGCTGTCTTTTTAAATAAAGGATGTACAGCCTGCATGCAAAGGTGATGGATTAAGGGGCTGGGAAGGCGGCTCAGTGGTAGAGCACTTGCCTTGCATGCATGAGGCCCTGGGTTCGATTCCTTAGCACCACATAAGCAAAAAAATAAAAAGGTGATGGATTAAGCAGAAGGGCATACTGTTTTGATGATAGTCATATGGCTGGTGACAACTTGCTGTTGAGTGACAGCTGCTGGTAGGACTGAGTATTGAGGAGTCCCATCTCCTTCCACTTCTGTGTCCAACACTGTGACGGTGAATTGGACTATGTGTCCCTGGGGTGAGTTCCACTTCTCTCTGCCTCTGTTCTCTCCATTGCTCACCTTCCCCTCCATTTGCCTCTTGCAGACAAAGTCAAAGCAAAGCTTCTTGGGCATAGTAGGGGTAGGCAGGGAGACTGGAAATGTGTGATTATGGTGGTCATAGCAGCCTTTAGGTGTTTTCCCCCTAAGAACTCTAAAGAGCTTTCTTCCACAAAGCAGCCCACTTCAAAAGTACAAGCCACAAACTTGGATGTAAGTCAACTTAGGATTTGTTGTGGGTGGTTATTGTTTAATGAGACCGGGTCTGCTAAGTAGCCTGGATTGGACTCATGCTCAATCCTCTTGCCTCAGCCCACGGAGGCTGGTATTACAGGTGTGTACCTCAATTCCCAGCCAACAATATAAAACAACTCATTTTGGAAAAAATTATATTGGGGAAAATTGTTTGGTTTGGCTGTTAAATATGCATAACAACATTTTCCAGTGTGAACCACTTTTCAGTGTTGCGTTGGATGATAGTAAGTGCACTCATGCCATTGTGTCACGCTCACAATAGTTCATCTCCAGGAATATTTTCATCTTGCTGAACTGAAGCTCTATACTCATTAAACAACTTCCCACCCTCCCCTACCTCTGCAGCTGTCATGCTACTACCCTCTGTCTCTGAGTGTGATTATTCTAGGCACCTCATATAAATGGGGGGAGCATAGCACCTGCCCTTCTGTGACTAAGGAAAAGGTCCCCAGAAGCATCCTTAAGGACACCAATGGCTCAAGCCCATAATCCTAGCTATTCAGGAAGCTGAGATCTGAGGATCTGTTTGAAGCTAGCCTGGGCAGGAAAGTTTGTGAGGCTTTTATCTCCAGTTAATCACAGTTAATCACACACACAAAAGCTGCCTCAAGTAGGACAGCACCAGTCTTGGGGGAGGTGGGGAGCGGCCGAGAAAGCTAAGGGAAAACTGCCATAGCATCTGTACCATTCTACATTCCTAGCAACAGAACAGGTAGATTCCAGTTTCTCCTCACTAACACTGTTATTGGAGGCAGATTTTTGTGTTTTGTCTGTACTTGTGCGTTTTGACAGTCACCATCCTATAGTAGGTAATAGGTGAGCTTTGCTATCTCCATGTGTTTGTGCGTGTGTTTGTGTGCGTGCACTATTACTGGGCTTGAACTCTGGGCCTCTGCACTCTCTCTAATCAATTTTGCTCAAGGCTAGTGTGGCTTTTTTTGTGGTTAATTGGAAATAAGACTCTTCTTGGGCTTTTCTGCCTGGGCTGGTTTGGATTCTTAGATCTCAGCCTACTAAGTAACTAAGATTACAGGCATTAGCCACCAGCACCTGGCTCCATGTGGTTTTGTTCATTTATATATCTTCTTTGGGGCAATGACTATTCATGTTGTATCTTTGTATCAGGTCCTGTGTCTTTTCTTGTTGAAACTGTAGGAGTTTTGTTTTGTTTTGTTGTTGGTTTTTGGTTTTGTTTTTCTTTTGTTTCTTTTGTCGGTCATGGGCCTGAACTCTGGGCCTGGGCACTGTCCCTCAGATCTTCAGCTCAAGGCTAGCCATCTGCTATTTGAGCCACAGCGCCACTTCCGGATTTTTCTGCTTATGTGGTGCTGAGGAATCGAACCCAGGGCTTCATGTATGCAAGGCAAGCACTCTACTACTGAGCCAACTTCCCAGCCCCATTTTAAGTACTCTGTATCAAGGGGGGTGGGGGGAGGAGAACCTTTTTCTCTGCCAAGAGGCCTTTTGGGTATTTATATAAATGGTATTCACAAGCCATACAAAATGATTCACTTAAAAATCAGCCTGTTATATTTTGTCAAGCATTTAATTAATTCACCCCTAATGTGAGGCTGGAACTGCTTCTCTTTGGTGAGGCATGACTATTGATGTTGGGACTCACAACTGCTTTTCCAAGTTTGTCAGTCTGGAGCACAAGTGGCCTTTTTTGTAATGGTATGTCTTGAAAAGAACAGCTTGAAACAGTTGCCCCATACACAGATGTATGTTTCAATGCATGTCCCCTCAAGGTTCATCACTGCTTAGGTAATATTTATAGAACACAAGCCCTGGGGGGCTGTTGTAGCTAGCTTTCAGCTCATCATCACTTCGCAGCTGGATGATTCCATGTTCTAGATTATCAGGCACCTCAGCTGCTTTCCACATCAAACGGTATAGCAAAGATGTGCAGATCCACTTGTTTACTTTTCATGTCCTCAGATCTCTCATTAAGTGCCTCTATTCGTTTCAGATACACACTAGCATATTGGTGTGCCTTAGAAGGCTTTTGTTCTTCCCGAGTGGAGAAATGTGCCACACTTTGTGGTACTTTGTCCAGCCTTAACTCAACTTCAGATGATTTCACATTTGAAAGCCGGGACCTACCGGTTGTCATTTACCTCTGAGAGTGCTTGGTAACATCCGCTGTGGATGCTGGATCTCACCACCACTTGCTGCCATTGAGTTCCCCTGTCAGTTCTGTTTTCTCTTCATGTCCATGAACTGCTTAGCTTCATCCTGCAGCTGGTGAAAGCCCATGAATATGCCCCATTGACTCAGCCACCGTACATCATGGTGATAAACAAGATCATGGAACTCAGAATCAAGATTCCAGACCCTCTGCTTTTGACAAAATGTGTGCATGACCCTTTTGTTGACATCCCGTTGTTGAACCACAATGACTGTGCACAGAGCAGGGTCATAAATTAAATCAACTTCCATCAAGATGGAGATGACTCAGTTCTTTCCTGACAAATATAGTTAGCCTTCTTTTTGAGCCAGCCATGGCTGGAGTTCCCTCTGTGGTAAGACCAAAGAACTGTTCAAATGTTAAGTGTTTTTCATTGATAAAAACCAGCCTCTCAAGCAAGTCCTCACCTCTTATAGGAGCCATGCCTGGCTTTCAGTGACAGCAATTTCTCTCTAATGTCAAACTGCAGTTATCCCACAGGTAAAAACAGCCCATTGGATAGTGTTTGTTATACTTATTGTTTTCTCACCAGCCAGAGAGAAAAATTGGAAATTGTCCTGCAGAATCCTTCTATGTTTTTTCAGTATCTTATACCCAATCAGTAATCTGATCTGAGCTGATTTTCCCAACACTGAGACCATTTTCCTTTGTCTGCTGCAACACCTCCATTGGAGCTACCATGCATGCATTCACAAACTCTCTCTCTACCTGGGAGCTTAGCTTCTTTGTGATTAACTAGCTCTCTACACAGCTCGTCTGAATGACAATATCTCTGTCACTAGGAGACCCAGCAAAAGCTGCCTGTGATTCCAAATCCACTAAAGAACATTGATTTTATCCAGACACACATGACCTCCTGATTTATTGAGTTTAGTGTGTTTTGAGCTGTATTGAAGGTCCAGATTGGCTCCTCTTCTTACTGCGAATGCATCACCACAAACTGGGCACATGGATTTGATTTTGATTTCACCAACAAGAAAAAAAATCATTTAACCCATGAGTAATACTGTAAATATCCAAATGGCCTTTGGCAGAAAAACA